GTTGCTGATATGCTCCAACGAGATGTTATCCGGCCTTCGTCCAGCTCGTGGTCATAACCTGTGGTGCTAGTCCGAAAGAAGGATGGTTCGGTGCGACTCTGCGTCGATTATCGAGCACTTAATAAGATCACGCGCAAAGACGTCTACCCGATGCCACGAGTCGACGACACACTTGACTCTCTGCAAGGCGCTGAATTTTTCTCCAGCCTCGATTTACGGTCTGGTTATTGGCAAATAATTATGCACGAAGCGGACACAGAAAAAAACTGCCTTTGCAACACCAGACGGGCTGTACGAATTCAACGTCATGCCATTCGGTTTATGTAACGCTCCTGCCATGTTTGAACGCATGATGAACACAGTTCTACGCGGCCTAAAATGGAAAACATGTCTCTGTTATCTAGATGACATCGTCATTTTCTCCTCTTTTTTTCGTCAGCATCTTGATCGTTTGGACGAAGTTTTGACGTGTATTTACAGTGCTGGACTTCAGCTAAACACAAAAAATGCCATTTCGCCAACAAGAACATCAAGGTGTTGGGCCATTTTGTCAGCAAAGAGGGCGTTCGTCCGGATCCTGACAAGCTTGCTGCCGTGATACGCTTCCCTGGGCCAGAAAATCAGAAACACCTACGAAGTTTCCTGGGCCTGGCATCCTACTTCCTGCGCTTCGTAAGTCATTTTGCTGCCATCGCGTCGCCACTGCACAAGCTGCTGACATCCGGATGAACTTTGGCTTGGAACGACGACTGTGAGCGTGGCTTTCAAGCCCTCAAGAATGATTTAACGTCTGACGTTGTTCTGTGCCTTTTCGACGAGAACGCTCCTACATGTCTGCACACCGACGCGAGCCGCCATGGCATTGGTGTAGTTCTTCTACAGCGGGATGCCACTTCACGGGAAAGAGTTATACGTATGCTAGTCGTGCTCTTACGGCTGCTGAACAGAACTACTCCATAACTGAGCAGGAGTGCCTCGCTGTCGTTTGGGCCATACAAAAATTTCGACCGTATCTTTACGGACGCCACTTCACAGTGATTACAGACCACCACGCCTTGTGCTGGCTATCGACACTGAGAAACTTGTCTGGTCGCCTCGGTCGTTGGGTGCTCCGCCTGCAAGAGTACGATTTTGACGTCATCTATAAGTCTGGCAAAAGACACCAAGATGCAGATGCTCTCTCTCGCTGCCCCCTTCCACTGCCATCATCAAGTACGTCAGCTGATTGCTCGTCTGGTGGGTAAGGCACTGCGTCACCCCTCACATTATCACTCTTTGCGGTTATCGAAACGCCGGCTCCAAATCGCTATACCGAGTTCGCCACACGCCAGCGTGATGATCCATATTGCAATCGCATTATCCAACGCCTAAATGGCATGTCACCTACTCCTAATGCTAGATTGTGCCGACAACTACGGCAATTTAAGCTCGATAACAATGTACTCCATCGTTACGTTTACACTACTGATGGACACCGCTGGGTTCCAGTACTTCCGTGTTCTCTACGTCATCAAGTCCTCGATACCTTTCACGACGACCCATGTGCAGGCCACTTGGGATTTCACAAAACACAAAGCCGCATCAGAAACCGTTTCTTCTGGCCGGGCATCTCTACCTTTGTGGCCAAGTACGTTGCATCTTGCCATCTGTGTCAACGGCGGAAGCGACCAACTTCGTCTCCTGCTGGCCTTCTGCAACCTATCCCGTGTCCCGAGACTCCTTTTGCCATCGTTGGCATAGACCTACTCGGACCTCTCCCCATCACGCCAGCAGGTAATCGTTGGATTGTGACTGCTGTCGACCACCTAACAAGGTACGCAGAGACTGCTGCACTACACACAAGTTCTGCTTCAGACGTCGCAGACTTCTTTCTCAACGCCATTGTATTGCGTCACGGTGCACCTCGCGTTCTCCTGAGTGATCGCGGCAAGACGTTCCTGTCCACCATAATCGAAACCCTGCTCGCAACCTGTGGTACAGTACCTAAGAAGACGTGAGCCTACCACCCCCAAACTAATGGGCTGACAGAGAGATTTCATGGACACTAACAGACATGCTGTCGATGTACATCGCACCAAACCACGACAACTGGGATACCATTTTGCCTTTTGTGACGTTTGCCCATAACACCGCTGTTCAAAGAACTACTGGCTACTCACCTTCCTACCTCGTGTACGGCCGTTCACCGACATTCACCATCGACGTCTCTTTCCTAAACGTGCCAACCGACACCTTGGCAACCGTATCAGGGCAGTTCATCACAAGGCTCGAAGAATGTCAGCAACGGGCTCGCCTTAATACAGAATCCAATCAGAAAGATCGCAAGCAACGCTACGACAGCTCTCATCGCGACGTCTCCTTCTGTCCGGGGGAAGAAGTGTTGCTTTGGACGCCCATTCGTACTCCAGGATTGTGCGATAAATTTCAGTCACGCTTCATTGGACCCTATACAATCAATGAAGAAACGTCACCAGTGAACTACCGTGTCACTCCCAGCGACCTTTCTTCGGATCGTCGCTGTCGTGGTTCGGAGATTGTCCACGTATCACGTCTGAAGCCATTCGTTCGACGTTCCGTTTCCGTCTAAGACGCGTCCGCGCGCCCGGGCTGGCCGCTCACGCGTGGGGGGGGGGGGGGGGGAAATAAGTGTGAGCATTATTCATACGCGTCATCTTACCATATGTACATACTCATCATCATCAGCCTGACCTGTGTTGTGGGGCAGTATATATATATATATATATATATATATATATATATATATATATATATATATATATATATATAACGAGCCTTTAGGTACACACTTCTTTCCCTTATTCATTAACGAGGGTCTCGTACTGGCAGACTCGGTGTCATTAGGTTGTATACGAGGGACTATTGGTCAGCCGGCCGCTCGTAATAAGTTCACGTCCCACGTGACGCCACACATGCGCATATAAGAGCGTTTCACACTCGCCGCTTGGCTACAGAGGGCGCTGACTTACACCCCCACTTCTAAATTCACATATAAACCCAAAAAAGTGAGGGGAGGGAAAGCCGCTGTGATAGCTCAGTGGTTAGAGCATCGAACGCGTTATTCGAAGGTCGTAGGTTCAATTCCTGCTCACGGCCGGTTATTTTTTCACCCTCTATTCTTTCTTCTTATTTACATTCCATTTGTTCTAATAACTTCCCCTATACAATACATTCCTTGGTATTATTGTCTGTTAGATCTCATAATATTGTGTCAAAACACGGAAAAACGAGCCCTTAGGTACACTTTTCTTTCCCTTATATATATATATATAATCCTTGTTGGCAACGCTCCCGTTGTGCCATATCCCATACCTTCACGAAGACTAACTGGCCCATTCATTGAATTATTACTCCCACTATATATATATATATATATATATATATATATATATATATATATATATATATATATATATATATATATCTGTATATCAAGACGAGCAAGGTAGGTTTGCCACCCCCCTCCCCCACTCGCGAAAGAGTTGGTAAGTTGGTATATCGTTGTAGGCAGGCTTGATATTGGAAAAGGAACTGCGTTATTATGAGTAGTAAAGCGTTTTACAACAGCAAAGCAACAACCAGGCGTCACACAATGCGAATTGCGTAACGAGTTAGTCAGCGAATGCTCCAAACCATTACTGAAGCTTAAGGCATAATTCTTCATCCTCACCAGCCACAGCGTTAAAAATGCACAAAATTCTTCGCAAGTATGTAGCACATACTATTCTTTTCGAAAGTTTGACGGAAAATGGCTTGGTGAATGCCTCCCTACCACACAAAAATTACTATTATTTTGACGTTGTAGGTCTGGTGGTTTGTGGTGGTGGTTGGAGGTCTGGTGGTTTGTAGTGTCGCTGGAATTGTTACAGTTACATGAAGCTGCAGTCAAGGCGTCCTCGTTGGGCATACTTCGCAACGTAATCAAAATAATATGCCGATCCTTTTGATTTTCTCACCTATTTTCTAATTCGAGAAAAAAGATACTTTCTAGCTATAGCTAATTCAGAATTAGGATTAGCAATAACTGTCGCAGTAGTTTTATCATTTGGTGGAACTACACTAGGTTACAGTCACAGGGATGTCGGCTCAACTGCCTTCGATTACAAAAAATAAACAAAAAAGATTACCGTGCTAGTCGATTTTTATCTCGTTATGTTTTCTTTGTTTTTCAAATCTGTTGTTAACTCCCGCTATTAACTCCATCATAAATCTCAAGTAATGGTTGGGCCACTGGCTCATTTTTAATTCCCATTTATTGGGTGTATTACATTTAGCGTATATTTTCTGCGTGCTTCTTAGCTTCATATGTCTTTACCAACTTCTCCTCCATTTTATCATCATCATCATCATAATTTGTATGAATGCGGATAGTGTGCATCACAAAATTTTTATGCCATATTCCACCTCCTAATTTTAATTTATAGGCCTGGTCAGGTACCATGTCCCCTTTTGCTTTTAATGTCAAGAGCCAGAAAACAGCAATCACATTTCATTTATTTGCCGACGTTTCACAAGCCATAGGAAGAAATATTTAGAAACTATATTAAGAAAATTAAACATTACTCTTCATTCTGAAAAGATCATTTCTATTGGGACTTCTCTGGGCCACAGCAATAGGAGCGTCTGCGTAGCAGTGAACTTCTCAGAGACACAAGTAGGTTTGCTTGTTAGATTTTTTTTTTCATTTTTAATTATGACATTATAGTTTTTTTAAATGACCATTCATATATTCATTTCAAATTATGGTTATTTAGCTACTTTATTCTTTGGTCACCGTCTTATTATCCACTTTTTTATTCCCCATAGATGACTGAATAATTATTTTTCTACATCAAAGTTTGCAATTCCTTTTTCCCCATGGGAATAACCGCAGGTCTATTGGGTGATCCACCGTAGTGGGTACGAGCCAAAGAAGAGAAACAAGCAAGCAAGCACGGCTGACAGCAGCGCGCGTACATCCTCATAAGTTCGAATGGTCCAGGATGTCGGTGATCGGGCCGTTGAAGACCCTGGAGGAGCTCCTCTCCTTCGACCTTCCGCTCCTCTTCGTCGTGGAGCCGTTGAGACACATAGAGCGGGGCGAGCAGGGAGGACCTAAGAACATGCTCCTGCACGATACGGCCACCTACAAAGAAGACAAGTGAGTTGACTGTGTATACCGAAAGCAGCTTTGCGAATGCGTCCAGATCACAACCGATTCGCTTACGAGACCCCCAAAAGGTTTCACTAATAGCGTGGGGAGGGTAACCCGTTTACAGCTGCTACAAGTTGTTTGTCAGTCGGTTAAAACCAAAGAACAAATGCAAACAAGGCACCGCTTTTATGTAACGAGCCACCGCTCGTTTCTTGGCTGATCCCCCATGGTGCGTTTCGCCACAATAAAAGGATCAATCAATCAATCAATCAATCAATCAATCAATCAATCATTCAGAATGAATTTGCATTGATGGTACATGTAATCACATTTGCTCATTTCCGTGAAGTCCAGCGCCCTGCGTACGTGTCAGTTCATTCCCACATTGGCATGCTTGTTCGTTCTGTTTTTGGTCGAAATTTTTAAACTTGCAGGCAAATTTTGATAAAGTTGCGGACCCAATTGCTCACTGAAACGTAATACTTGGAGTAGGCTAGCCGGAAATTTAATTTTTTTTGTGCGTAGTTGTCGTATCGACGTGGGTGCCTAGGATGCCACGCCGAAAGGACGCAGAAGCGGGCGCGCGCCAAAGAACGGACGTAGCTGGGTGCCTTGCAAAGGATGTCTTATAGGGCCTCTGTGGAACGCACCTCGAAAATTGACTACGTGTCAATGTGAAGTGCGGGCAAGAATGACTTTGGTAACAGAATAACGAGAACTTGGTGTCATGGTTTGAAGTCGCATAAATTAACCAACGCCTCCTAGACTGTTTCATTGAAGTTGGCAGAGCTGGAGGCGAGGGGTCGCTGTTGAAGTAATGCAGATGTGAGAGCGACTGCTGTTGCCGCAATAGTCAACAAGGAAGAGGAGGAAACATATGAAATAAATATTGGGGATTTAACGGCCTCACTACACGATACGAGTATGAAAGATGCCGCTGTGCATCGACCAGCTGGTGTTTTTAACACGCACATTCAAACTATAGGCAGCTGATTTCTTGCCGATCCAGAAGCTTGGAGGAGGACGGAACCTTGAAGACGCCAGAAATCATGGAACCCAGGTGTCGCGCTGCGACACCCTTGCTCAATGAGTTTTTGTAAACGACTTATGCATTTACAAAAGTCTTGCTTTGGGACAAGTTGATGCATACTTGGTGCAGACGACTGAGGCGCAACAAATATTTCGGGAAACAGAAGGAGCAGAAGAGAGGTAAGAACAGCGCCAATCTTACACTGTTCTTATTTCTCTTCTGCTTCTCCCGTTTCGCGAAATGGTTGTTGCGCCACAGTCCTCTGCACCAAGTTATTAATTAACCAGGCTTTTTCCAAGTGTTTTACGGACATTGAAGAAGTGTCTTATGACATATTCGTACATATATTTGGTTTATACACAACTGTGTTATAGGACACAAACGAAAGTTCGACCATTACTTATATTCACTTACTTTGAGTTAAACGATCTAATTGACTTGAGTGTCCCACCCGCTCTTTCTTTATTCTACAGTCTCAATCACTCACACCCATGTTTCTGCCCGGCTCCTCACAGATTCGTTTACGGGAGTAACAATGTGAAAAGCTACAATTTCCCGTTATGGCAAGCCATCGACACTTTTGTCTACTACACGGACAACATGGTGTCCATACCCCCGCCGGGCTGGATCACGGCTGCCCACAAGCATGGCGTAAAGGTCTTGGGTAAGCCCAACGTGTATACAGTGCAGTCCACACTTAAAGGGGCCATGACAGGGTAACCTGATCATTCGTAGTTTTCCAGCGGAGAATAGTACTAGACGTTCTATTACGCCTACACAGTTATAAAGAGTCGGCTGTAAAAGAATCGGCGCAAAAATAAACCTAAATGTCACCTGCTGTAGATCTTGCTCACCACCGATTTTTGCTGCATTTTGAGCGTTGCTTCTTTGACTGCGTAAAATTGAAGTTCTCCCAATGCAGCATTTCGTCTATTCCGGTTGCGTCTTACTGTCTCTACCGTCACAACCGGTTGACAGCTGCAGATGTCATGGGGCCATCACCTGTTGTCATCTGTACTGTCACCAATTGATGGGTACGTTTAACGCTTTTGCGCTCCCCAGGTACCTTCACCCTGAAATCCGAAGAAGGCGTAAAAGCCATCAACAAGATCAAGGGAGCACATCTAGTCGCCAAAGTGGCCTCTCAGCTGGCCCGCGTCGCCGCTCTTCACAGGTTTGACGGCTGGATGGTCCGCATTGTCACTGGTATGGTGAGGACCCTGCTTTCTTCGATATTTCAATACATGCAGAAACACTCGATTCTTAATCAGGCAGTTTAGTTGTACCGAAATTAACTTAGTTTACATATATATGGGAGAAGGATCGGCTTACTTTCGCTTGGGACCGCTTGACAGCTTCTCCTGCAGTCGCAGCAGGTGCCTCGAGTTTGATAGAAGCAATCTATAGTTAAACTCTTACGTGCGTTTTTCGACTGGTACACTGACTCCACTGGCGCAGCCAATCTAGGGTAGGGGAGAGAGCAGGCATGCCGGGGGGCTTGAACCTCCCGCGAAATTTTTGACTTTGGGAAGGGCTCACAAAACAGACACGGAAGGTGCTTGAAGACGCCCCCACCTCGAGATTAATTTTTAGTGACATGGGCGCCCTCGTTCGACTTACTCCATATACAAAATTAGCTTTGTTCAGGTTCGCGTTAGCTATGTACTAAACTACAGACTCGGAGTTCTGCAAGAAATGATTTCGGGAAAGCCTAGTGCTACTGCCTTGCTTTGGTCGTCGAACTCACTCGCGAGTTGACTCACTGGGAGCCACTCAGCTCCGGAACGAGTCATGAGTCTGAGTCTGAGTGAGTGCGGGTGAGTAATGATTTGGTGAGCTTGAGTCCAAGTAAGTCTGCTTGAAAACGCTTTCTTGGGTGGGAGTCCTGCTGTGTCTGCCTCCGGAAAATTGTTCTGTGAGTCTGAGTCCAGTCAGTAAAAAGTGCAATATATACTTTTTGGTTGAGTGTGAGCAAGCTCGTCATTGTTTGGCCGGCTTGTGTTGTTTGGTCATGCGAACGATGGACGGCAAGTGGAATTTCTGAAACTACATTGTTATAAAATAAGTCACCTTGCAATGTCGAACATTCATAATTCCAAGAAAAACATTGATAAATATACACATGCGTATATTCCTACGCTGTCTTGTCCTGTTTGAGTAATGTGGTTATTCGAAAGATTCACGAACTGTACCAGTAAGGTAAGAACGTCTAAATCTACAAATTCATATGCCTAACCAGCATGGCAATGTATTATCACATGTGGAGATTCCCTCTAGTACGTTTTGTGCAGAAGACATTATGGTACCAACGTATAATATACAGTGCTCGAACATACTTCCCGAGTAATTGTTCTTTACCCAGCCTTGAAGCCCAGCACAGTCACAAGTATTGGAGTCGGAATAACGCCACCCTTACAACTAAAGTTGGGCCTATAAACAAGGAATTCACGTACTTACAACATTGTTCTCGTTAAAGGAAAAGCAATCCGACCCCGATGCCCGACTTAGTGGTCTGAGAGCGTCGCTCGCGCTTTCTGCGTTGGTAAAGTCGAACTTTACATGGTGCATCGTGTGTGCTTGCAATATGCATTCAATCACAGCTTGAAACGACTGATGTTACGCGCACAGTCGTTCGTATTTTTTTTTCTTTTTTGACAAGGTTGAGGCATGCACCGATAACCGAAGCAAGTTATCAGTTTAGGAGTAGATGCGCAGGAAGACAGATTACGCTACCGTGAACTGATATTGAAAGCGAAGCTCAAGAATCCTCCAATTCTTTTTATGTTATCACAATTCATACATCACCCTTTATCGGCAGGATTGCAGCGCAGGCCACTTCGTCATCAGCCTCCTCGCTGCCTTGACCGAAGAAATGCACCGCGCTGTGGCCGGTTCCGCCGTCATCTGGCAGGAGAGCGTTCAACCCGGCGGAAAGGTCGAGCCGCAATCTGAACTCAATGACAGAAACTTGCGCTTCTTCGATTCGTGCGACGGAATCGTCTTGAATTCCAAATGGCACGAGGACTCGCTCATTGAATCTGCAGAGTCGGCCGGAAAACGCAGGGGCGACGTCTACGCTGGGATCGACGTCCTCACTCGGGGCACGTGCCACGAAAGCCGCTACGAGATGCACAAGGTAAGTGTTGACGGGACAGTTACGATGGCGGGTTCAGTGTCTTGGAACTCAGAGTGAAACAGTCAAACAGTGCCTTATGCTTTCGCTTAAAAGGGCCCTGCAGCACTTTTTTTTTAGCATAGTCAAAAAACATTGCCGATCGGCAGTCGAGGCTCCGGAGAAAACGCTTGTCAAATACTATAGCGCCGCACGCTACCTGGAATTCAAGATTAGCTATAAATTGCTTTCTCCCTCGGGAAATGACGACACAAGCTCAAAAATTACTCGTCACAGCCATTGTATGAGCCATTGGTTGATTTGCGCATGGCAGGCTCGGTCATTGCAGGGGCCCCCGTTGGAGGCCATTGTCCAAGCACGCGCGCGTGATCGTGCTGAAAGTCGCGTATTCGACCAAAAAACAAAAAAGGAGGGGGTTAAGGGCACGAGGATTGCGTGACGTATTTTCTTGCCCCGTGCCTACCCTCCGTGCTTAGCCATATGTAAAATCTAAGAGTGCACTTTTAGATTTTACGTATGGCTAAGCACGGAGGAATGGCCACTCTGGCAAAAAGCGGTGGTGCTACGTAGCTTCACGCCGGCCGTAAGATGGCAAGACATCACTCACTGCTTCAAAGAAACGAGCGTACTACAGTTATTTAATACTGTACCCGTTCTAGTGCATTATACGCCTACGTGTCTTTGCGACTGCGATTGTGGCTTTCGTAGCCGGCGTTATCGCCTCGCTTGCACATGGTCGGGTAAGATCTGACATGAGTTGGATGCGAGAGAAGTGCACGTGGCGTCGACGCGACGACAACGTTGTCATGCTCCGTGTTCACGAGCATTTCAGACGATGATGAAGTACGGACAGCAGCAGGGAGACGCGATATAAGATGTGCGATAACGTTCCCGGCGTGCGTCGAGGTCTCCGCTTGTTTCGTCTGCCTCTCAGATTGGCTTCTGCTATAGGTACGAACGCCATGATTACTTTGTAAAGTGCGTATTGCATTCGTCACTGAAGACTCAAACTAACATTTGTCACATTGTGCCACCGATGTCGGCCCACATTTTACCGAGCGCCCATAATCTGTTGGCACGGGCATGCACCATCACGTGGGGCAGTTTCTCGTATTCTACGCCCTCCCCTTCTTTTATTTTCTCTGATCGCATTGGTAATGTTCACAAAGCGTACAATGGTTGTTGAATGCCTGCCTGTCTTAAAAAGAATTCTGTTCTCAGTCATCGCAACGTCTTGTTCTCTGTGCATCTTCCCCGCTAGCTCATTGTCTCGTTTGTGCCGTTATTCGTTGTCCAAGTAACAGACACGTTATACAATACAGCACACCCTCACACCATAAACCCGCGCGGGTTTCTCCACTAGATGAGGTGAGGTTTCATCGCAATGCATCCAGCACCCCACCCTCCGTTTGGTAGAGTACGACAGAAAGTAATCCTAATCTTCGAAGCGGATGCGAGATCGAAATGGAAGTGCTGACGTGCTGCTCAACACTTTTTATCTGCAGCTTCCCCGAGATAGGAGTGTGAACTATAGAATTCTACGAATGCAAGATCAGATTTACTCCATCACAATTATCGTGAATAAACTTGCAAGCCCATAGCACTGCGCATTATTACCTTTATTCATAAATTTATTCATGGTACCTCGAAGGTCCCACATGGGGCATTAAATGAGGGCGGGGTGGGCGAAAAAATCGGTGGATCGGTTTGGACCTTCATGACTTGAGAGACGGTCTTCGATAGCAGCTTTGATTGGATCAATTTCCGTGTGAAGGCGATATCTAGAGGAAGGACATTCCATTCTCCGGTGGTATGCGGGAAAAGTGGGCGCCCTTCTCAGATACGTGCAGGGGGGAGGGTAAATGCACAATGCATTTACCCCCTCTCCCGTGTGCACCACATGCCTTACTCAAGTGAACTAACTCGAAACGTTGAACTGCTGCCAATCGACGTCTCTTAACTCTCTTTTCAGGCAGTCGCCATAGCGCGCAAATACGGCCTATCTGCTGCCATATCCGGTGCAGGATGGGTGTACGTGGAAGATCGCCTTGTCCACCTAGACCCACGCTTGATGAGGTCTACCATCCACGGCACAGACTTCACGCTGAATTTCAGGCAGAACCAGTGTCAGTAAGTTCTGGAACGTTGTTATTTGCATCACTATGTCAAATAGTTAGGCTGGAGCACCTCTCTTTAGCCAGGTCAATTCAACGACGAAGCTGTTTATGGCTCAAGTAACACCATTAGTTAACGCCTTGAGTAGCCTACAGCACGCAAGTATTAAATGTGAATATGCATTTATTAGTCGGGCTATGTCAGGCGTCCGTCGGGATCCGTCCACCGCCCTCTCCCATAGCAACGGCGGCGGGCTTGCGCGTCCCTAGCAACCGAAGCCCCCACCATGTGACGCTTTCGCGTCGGCAGCTGTCAGCAACAGCTGCGGGCGGGCGCGATAATCCTCGCCTCTGGCAACTGGAGCCTCCTTGGCTTGAACCAACCACTCCTAGGAGGCGTTGCTTGAACGTGGCTTGCCACCGCCTCCATGCAACGCGTTTGAAGCGCGTTTGTAGTGTTTGTGCTACCAGAGTTTGTGTAGCGTTTTCTTTTTATCCGTGCACGCTATAGATACTAGAGCTGGAAACGCGCACCACGACAGAAAAACGCCACGTGTGGCAAATGGCGCTATTGGATGCACGGTGTAAGAAAAACATATAAAGCATTATTCTTCTATCGCTTGGTTCTTTTGAAATGAACAGATTTTATTTCTGGAGAGAATACAGAAAAACGAAGCGAAGCTATAGGCCATTCGGCCGGACGTGGCTTCGCTACGCGTGCGAAACCCCATTATGAGCGTATGAAACCCCATTATGAGCGCTACGCCATTCGTTCGCATTTGTTCACGATTTCCTTCGGGAAGGTGGGGGCATTTTTCGTACCCGCAGTCCTTATGCCCAAAGCCAATTATGCAGTGAAGCAAAGTGGGATAAAATTGCGAAGTTCCTTTGAAATAAAGTGAATATACCATAACTTGATATCTTCTGAGTTTCATTACCTCCAGTTTAATATTGCCACAAGGCAGTAGTGGGATTGGGGCATAAAGCGGTAGAGGGTCTCTGCCTGGAAGAATATGTTTGTAGCAATAATTCCTAAAATACAGGTATTTTGTGCGGTTTCCCTAGTTTGTGATTTTTTCCCCTATAATTTCTGAATTAAGAAAAATAATTCACTCAAAACATTGCTTTTAGTTGCTATTTAAGGGGAATAAATGCTGGGTTTGAGAACAGTACTGTTTTTTACCAACCTGCTCTGTTATTTCAGAAATCACGAAACTCGCTGGAAAACGTTTTTCGCCGGCAGAAGTCGTGTATATTTATTTAGGTTGAACGACTTTTTCATTCACAAGAGCAAGTTCGAAACCATCGTTATTGAGCTAATGCCTTAGTCCACAGTGAATTTAATCAAAATCGGGAATCGTGAAGAGGCGTCCCATCTAATCTGGACCGATATTATCTGGGCACACCAACTAGCGTTTTTGTACAGTTACGTGAGATACGATGCAATAGAGTTAGCGGCCAGACTTACTTCCTATAACACCCAATGCCTTACCAGACGAACTGTCGTCGACAAGAGACTAAATATACGTTAAACGCTGGGGCGTAAAGCTCATAGATGAGGAATGACTCACGGTATTCTCTGTCATATTTTGCAGGGAACCCTCATTCGAGTCATAAGAAAATGCTGTCAGCCCGTGCACGCGGATTTGGGCGCACGTTAAACAACTCCAGGTGGTCGAAATGTCCGGAGCCCTCCACTATACGGCGTCTCTCATGATCATATGGGTGTTTTGGGAGGTTAAACCCCACGTATCAATCAATCAATCAATCAATCAATCAATCAATCAATCAATCATTAATTAATCATATTCCAGTCATAAGCCGTTTAGGTTCTGAAAAGAGTGGTCGGGAAGTGAACGTGTCCTTAGATTGACGGGATGCTTCGGAGGGTCAGCATGAAATTTATGATTGTTTAAGCACAGCGTCAAATACCCTTTTGTTTGCCCTACGGAATGTTTTTTTTCTTTTTTTGTATATCACGCATTCAATCATGTAATACATTGTTAGTGTCGCAGACGAAGTTGCGCTTGACTAGTAAACAAAAGTTCTTAAAGCAGTACTAGTCATCTCTTGCAACGTACACTTGTACGGGAACACTTTGCATTGCTGTTTTCGGGAACAAACACATCAGATAGTGCCAGGACTGCCTGTTTTCAAATATAATAACGATGAGGATGACGACGATGATGATTTATGATAGTACGTCTTGGATAGTTGCAGCCTTGCGATACACTTCTGAAGGCGGTTTTGCAAAGTGGTTTGGAGGCGTTCATGTTATGATGTTTTTCAGTATATCAGAAACACACACCCCGCTGCGGTGGTCTAGTGATTTAAGTTGCTCTGCTGCTCACCCGTAGGTTGGCGGGATCGAATCCCGGCTGCGGCGGCTGCATTTTCGATGGAGGCCGAATTGCTGTACGCCCGGGTGCTCAGATTTAGGTGCACGTTTAAGAACCCCAGGTGGACGAAATTTCCGGAGCCCGCCACTAGGGTATCTCTCATAAACATACGGTAGTTTGGGGATGTTAAACCTCATATATCGCTCGATCATCAGAAACGCGCTAAACTGACGCAGAATGTGTTCGCACAAGATGTGGTGAGCTGTACGCTTCAAACTTAAGTTCTTAGAAGTGCATAGCAAAGTTGTGTGGTCATGTACATACATTAGCACCTTTCATAGCGTCGTCAACTAACTCTGGTAGGGAATTTTGTTTGACCAGAGTACTTAAAAAAAAAAACCTCCGCACAAATGTTATATTCTTCGCCAGTTCCACTTGTTTCTGTTGTACTAAAAGCACAATAACGTTTTAATACAAAGTGAACGTCGCAGAACCATTTGTGCCCAACCGCCTAAAGCAAGTGTCTCGATAAAAAGAAATTGCGTACGATGAATTGTGGGTTATAATGCTCTATCGCCTGCCGCTGTGAACGTTTTGAACAACAATCTGTTCTAACATCTTTTGTGAATGTGACTACATTGTTTTCTTCTTTGACTGCAACCCCCCTGCTGCAATGACCACTAGGGCGATGCAGATATATAATAAATCAGAATAAATATTAACGCATAAACGTGAATAAATAAATAAATTATTATTCCACTCAGTGGAGATGAATAAATAGGTCTTGGCATTTACTGCACCTAATATTTCAAGTATAACGCGTTTTATAATGTAGCGAGCTTATATATTGTTGTTAGAAGCGACTTCGTTATGGCTGGGTTCAGCACTGTTCTCGCTCTGCATCGTGTCTTGTCGATGCAGGTTGTGGGCCCTACCCGAGAAATGCCGGCCACAGTGGCGTGTTACCACGCTGCCGCTGTCCACGACGTTCTGCCAGGGATTCGGCACCTCTCTGTACAAGAATGGCCGAGTCAGTTGAGCGCGTTTTTTGAGCATTTCAAGCTAAATATATAGATGGGGCATAATTGCTATATTGACTTAAAGGGCTATAAAAAGAAACAGTGACTTGGTTTATATTGCCGTTGTACACTCTGAGAAGTCGAATACCGTATGTTTCACTCAGATGAGTTCACTATTGGCAGGGAAAAACAACGCGCTAGTTTCACTTTTAAACTTCGTGCGGACATCTCCCCGCGTGACGTCAGAAGTTTCAAAATGTATTTCTTAGTATTTTCGCGACATTGGCTCGATGAAATTGTCTGAAACTTACGCGTAAGCTAGCTGTGTGACATCCACAGATGGCAGTAAACTTCATTTTGATCGATTATATGCTACGTTGGACCTAGTAAACGCCTTCGAAATCTATGACGTCACAGTGTTTGGTGCGGGCATCTCACGGGGGTGTCGCCACCCGCATTTTCTTTTCGTGCGTTTTTCGCTTATATCAAGCGTCGTGTCTCGGTAAGGGTGGTGTTTTCGATGTTGTGAAATTGTACTTTACTAATACGCGAAAAATCGTTTTGCTCTTTAGTGTCCCTTTACACCACGGGTATTGAAAAGGGGAAAGGGGGTCTAAATGTGTTCCGCTCAGTGAGAGGCAGGTTTGTATAAAAAAAAAAGACTTTTGTTTGTGTTGAGGGAGGGGGGCGCCTCTTTCTGTGGAGTGGTTACTGCCGGGTGTACAAATTACTAAGATTCATGGTATTCTAAAGTGTTATTACGATGACCACTAAGAGAAAAACCAAAATAGAAAATGGTCATTTACTTTTCACACGCTCAGTCGACGTGTTCAGGCTGTCGGATCGGCAGGTTTACTCTATCTAAAATTGTGGTTGATCCTTCTAATATAACAATCAGCACAACAAATGAAATGTAAACGCGTCTGCACATAAGTAGTTCAGTGTTTATTGTACGTTAATGTTGGTGTTTGGTGACTACAGCACACTTAAACGTTGGTGCACCCATGTTGGTGCCGGGTGACACATCTGCATCACAACAACTGCAAATCGTGGAACGGGTTTTCACTAAATCGTTCTTTAAACTAGCGGTAGCTACAGCAGACGGTACATCGTTCAAAGGTCGGAGACCGTTCTGTAGATGCGCTCGGCATACGGCGCCTTCTTCGCGAGCTGTGCCCTGCTGGAGGGCCACTTCGGCGAAGGTACGATAATTTGAGGTCCTGCCTCGGTTCCCACCAGTTGGTCTGCGATGCGCTCGGCTTAGCGAGCACGAGATGCAGATTTCTCAGCTTGAGCCGCGAACGCGCAAAAGCTTCTCGCTCCCTCCTGCCGTGTCTTTCGCTGCACAATGACCTCCGAGAATTCGCGACCAGCCGGCGCACGATCTCGGAGGCCATGACTGCACTCATAGAGTTTCATACAATAATACCTAGAGGGGAATCTGGCGCTGGTGTTTATGTGGGCTCCTTCAGCAGCGCTTGTACCCCAACGGGAATTATGGCAAGTACAGGCTTCGGATCCGCTTCGGATGGATTGGGTTCATGAATTTCGCGGCGCTTCTTTTCCGAGTGTAAAACAAAAAGATATGAACCTATATATAATTGAAAATTGCTTCGTTTGTTTGTATGCAAAAGTTATTGCTAAAACGTTTTGTGACGAGGTGGCAAAAGTGAGACCTGGAATCAGGGTATACATTGCTCTTCCATTGCGTTCTAGATTTGGTATCAAGATGTAATGAATTATTTTTAATGCATTTGTAAACAAACATGCTTGTTTCTCCGCCGAAAGTACGCATTATCTATTTATGGAAGTAACTGTACAGTATTATGTGTGGAACACTTAACGTTTCGTTTTTTGTGATACTAGGTGGGTCTTTTCGAATGGTCTACTTCTAACGCACCTCTGGTTTAGTTGTGAAGTCGAGTCGGCGGAGCGCGACGGTGCGTTTACTTAGCTTCGCCATCATTTTGCAGTCAATTTAAAATGAGCTTAGGCCAGACGTGGTAGTGACAAAACATGAACTCGATGCAATATCCTGCACTGGCATAAGATGCTACATCTATATGCTCAGCGGTGAGTGGACAACGCCGTTTGAACTCTCAAATGGTCAAGTGGCACGCCCATCTATGTGCCTGTGGCGCAGTTTGTTGAGCACCCGGTGTCTATCGCCGAAGACCGAGGGGTCATGGATTTGAATTCTAGGGTCTTCCGAATTTGCGGAACTTTTCCTTCTAGCTTTGCTCTTTGTGTTCTTTTCGTGTATAATTTACCAACGTCATATTTGTGATGGAAACACATCAGTGAGGTGTTGGTGGACCCCAGCATAAAACACTTTCATGTTAAAAACTTGGAACCTTTGATGTGCTTGGGTCGCGAAACCTCTTTACCATTTTTTAGGTCATCAAACCAGCCCCTTGGTTCAACCTGTCAAAACAGGAACTGCAGCCCCGATACCAAGGCGGCAAGCTTTGCGGAGGTGGCGGGACGGCCATGCTGGATACATCAGTCTCCTTCAATGGTGGTGGTTGCCTGCGTTTGGAATACGACCCTAAACTAGCAACAAAACCAAACGTCGTCCCGTACTTCAGGTAAATCTGTGGCATTTCTTTCGGGGTCAGTGCAAAACGTGGGTGTCTATATACTTGTATATTACTGGGTGTCCCATACGACATGGACCGACATTTTGAAAAATACTGGTTTTAGGTACGCACAGCTACAGCTAATAAGGCGATTCGTCACATAAACAAGAAGATGCGTGAAAGAGCGAGTCAGGAAACTCCCACAAAAAGCCAACAAGAATGCCGAAAAAAAGAGCCCAGCTTGTGGCCCTTATTAACTCTTGCAGCAGTTGTGAAGCGCCATTCGAACACATCGATGTTTCGGCTACCGACCGGAGGATCGCGGAATCGAATCCCAGTGGCGGCGGCTGCATTTTCATGGAGGCGAAAATGCTGGAGGCCCGTGTGCTCAAATTGGGGTGCACGTTAAAGAATCCCAGGAGGTCGAAATTTCCGGAGCTTTCCACTACGGCGTATCTCATAATCATATGGTCGTTTTGGGATGTTAAACCTCATATATCAACCATCATCTAACAAGTCATCATCAAGCAAGGAGCTGACCTGTGTCGCCAGTTAGGCAGACAGAAATTAGCGCCTTTCTTTCTTCCCTTCATGAACCACTTACTACTTACTATTGTTTTCTGCCACGATGCTGCGGCACTTTCATACAGTCATATGCCTTTTGAGCAGCGCCAAGACACGTTGATAGTCTCTGTAGTAGAGTTTCTGTCTCAGCCACCCCAAGGTGCCACCAACTATAGTTCACTGCGACGCGCAGCTCGTCATTTCACTATCCGCGATGGACCCCTGTAATGTCACCTCAAACTTTCTGACAGCCGCCAATGCTTGTTGGTGATTCCTAGCCACCTACGGGCCGACATCTGCACTTGCTTTCACGCAGATCTCTATTGCGCCCACGCCAGTGTAATAAAACGAATGCATGCCTTCGGCTGTGGTACTATACTAGCGCGAAATCTACCGCTTTGTCCAACATTTCGTATACGTTCGTGTTCCAAATGTTAACGCCGGAAGAGCCCATCGCACAATGTCAATGAACCTCCGCAGCCATTGCTTTGCCACTCGATCCTGGCCTTTTGAGCACATTGGAATTGACCTGCGCGGTCCCCTTCCCAACAAGCCTAACGGGAACCACTGGATGATTGTCACTGTTGATCTGTTGAAACTCTACGCTGAAACATCAACGCTGCCAAAGGCCACATCACGTGAATTATTTATCCGTCACGGTATTGTTCTTCGCCATGGCGCGCCTCGTGAGCTACTTGGTGACCGCGCACGTATGCGTTCCTCTCCGAAGCCGCAGAAGCCCTTCTTCGTCAATGCAGTATTATGCATCAGACAATCAGCGCGTACCATCCCCAATAAACGGATTGACCGAATGCTTTAACCACACATTGAGCGACAATCTTTCCAGGTAAGTGACAGCTGACCAGACCAACTGGGACCGCATGCTATTCTTTGTTACTTACGCTTAACACAGCACCACTCTGTTTAAGGCAGTAATCTCTCCGTTCTTCTTTTTCTAAGGGCACGAACCTACCTGATTCATGGACACCATTCTTTTGTACCGCCCGGACGCTTCAGAACCCACGACTCTGTCTGAAATCGCCACTCATACCTAGGAATGCAGGCAACTCATACGTTCATTTACCGCTCAAGATCAAGCGTACCAGAAGCACCATCACGATGAAAACCTGCCTCTCTGTTCATATTCGCCGGGAACATTGGTATGGCTTGGCGTTCCCTCATATGCTCCAGGCGTTTCTACAAAGGTATACTGCCGAAATACGAAGACCTCTTCAGAGTCCTCCTATACGTCAAGCCTCTCCGGTCAACTAGGCATCAAGACTGTTCATGTCGGTCGATTGAAGCCGCTTGACGACCTACCCGTCGTACCCGTTCCACGGGTCACCAGGCTCCTTTTCTGTGGAGAGCAACTTGTAGCATAGATATATGCCACAGACAGAAGCGCCAGCAAAATAAGACAATGAAGACAGTTGTTGCTGCTTGCCCCCGCTGCTCCCCCCATCTGGTCGGCGTATCTCTGCTATTTATTTAATAAACGTTCCTACCGTTCACCGCTAGCCGTGCTATCACTCAGACTCTCTTTGATCCAGACTTACGGCTCGATCTGAGTCTGAGTCGACTTATGAGTAGTGAGTATAGTTGCCGACCTATATAGACTTTAGGAGGCGAGTAATGTCACGGGTATTATTTAAAGGTCTTCTGATACCAAATTTGAAAACGCGAGATGCTTTTGTTGAAGGATAACTGCTAGCTGACCTAGTTGGAATCGTTTAAATTATTTGTCCGTGTTTGTTAAGCGCAAAGTACTTCCATGTTTGTGTTGTTTGTGAGTGCTACATGCTAGGACAACGCTGGCCAATTATGAGCGAGGACTTTTGCCTATACATGATATTTTACTTAGGTGTCAAAGTGAGGGTGACGAACCCGTCTGAGTTATTAGCACCAATTGACTACTTGTCTGGTTGACGTAGACAGAGGCCCGGATGACGTTCCGCGAGTAAGGCGAGTATTGTGGACGTCAGAGAACACTTGCGGGGCACGTACAAAACTCCGACTCTCGAAGTGTTTTTCGCTGCTTACGACAGGAATGCGTTGCTTTTTTTTTCTAAGGGGAACGCGCTCAAAGCATCCACATCGCTTCACTCTTCACCACCTGCGAGTCCTCCAATTTGAAAACGGTGCGTTCAGCGTCACAGCTTAAGCGCACGTATTCTCAGGGGCTTCCACTGTGTGGGGCTAGTTTCTTACGGTATTTAAGCGAGTGTTCTGGACTGAGTCAAAATTGTTCTGAGTGAACGATGATGTTGTATGATGTGTTAGTTGTACGATGCGTTAGAGAATTTACGGTTCAATTTAGCAATTACCAGACTCAAAGCTGCAAACCACTGTAAGAGAGGCGTCCTGAGCACATAGCCGTCTTCTGTATTCATACGGGCAGGGTTCCTTTTGGCGTTGCATAAATGGTTGCCAGACTGGGAAGGTCAGTGTTGCCAGACGGCCGCTAAATTTGACCGCAAATTGTTTTCGTAGTGGTTCCTTTGTGAGAGTTTGGTGCCATCTGCGGTGCGATTCGCGAACGAGCGACGCTGGCCGTTTTAATTAACGGAGTGAACCGCGCCTAGCAGTAGTCGAGCGTGGCGCTGCCGTGCAATTAAGAGGCAGTTTTTATTAACGAAATGAACCAAGCCTAGCAGAAGGCGACTCTATTCAGTTTTCCCCGTCATCCCTAATACTGAGACGCGATATCTTAATTGCACAGCTGCGGACACAGCAAGAGAACGCACCCCGACTTCTGCTAGGCGCGGTTCATTCCGTTAATTAAAACGGCCTCTTAATTGCACAGCAACGCCGCGCTCGACTTCTGCTAGGCGCGGTTTATTCCGTTAATTAAATTGGCCTCCTAATTGCACGGCAGCGCCACGCCCGACTTCTGCTAGGCTCGGTTCATTCCGTTAATTAAAACAAATTCTGTAGTGCGTGGTTCATTCTGTTGGTTAAATTGGCCTCCTAATTGCACGGCAGCGCCACGCTCGACTTCTGCTAGGCTCGGTTCATTCCGTTAATTGAAACGAATTCTGTAATGCGCGGTTCATTCCGTTATTTAAAACGGAAACGAAACGGCCTCTTAATTTCACGGCAGCACCACGCTCGACTTCTGCTAAGCTCAGTTAATTCCGTTAATTAAAATGGCCAGCGTCGCTCATGCACTTGCGAAATGCACCGCGGATGGCACCAAACTCTTACGAAGAAACCACAACTACACGAGAAAATTTTTCAGCCAAATTTAGCGGCAGTATGGCAATAACCATTCCAAAGTCTGGCAACTGACTTGTGCAACGCCAAAAGAAACCTTGGCTACATACGCATTTCAACTACAATGGTTTGCCTTTCTTTACACGTATAACATGAGAAGCCACAGACTAGGAGCACCCCAGTTGTGGCACGCTCAGCCTCGATCAACCTGCGCAGCACGATCACATAAAGCTTTGCCGCTTTCAGCGAGAAGCAGACGTAGAGGGCCTATTGTAAGTGTGCATATGTGAAAAACAGAGTAGCAAATAACACTGAAGCTCAAAATAAGCCCACAACTCACCGGCTATAAAACCCCGCCGGTCACCAGCGACTTCTGTTTTGTCATGGTGCGTGTGACGCCATATATTGCATGATACGGAACCGTGGCCTGCTAGCAAATCAGCTACAAAACGCGGTGTAGTGTGTTTCTGCAGCACCCGGTGGCGCTGGTTGAGACGCTTATTTGCAATGGCAAGCTGAACGACGCTGAGATAGCTCTTCCGCACGCTACGCCACTGATGACGAGCGCACCAGAGTTGACCGACTATCCGGCCACTTGTGTGTTCTATAAAAATGTTCAAATATAAACTAATTTCAAGGCCAATTGTGGTAAAATTTCACCTGCTTGTAGTGTGAAAGCATAATAATTAGCCCGTTGAGCACGTATTGTTATCGAAAATAGGGTGTCACGGCCCCTTTAAACCAACAAGTTGCAGCCGTCATCACAGGTACAGCCATCGCTGTGCCAATCCCGCGCAATGCATGTGCCCTCACAAACTTCTGCAGGTTGTTCGACTTCAATCTGCCGCTGGACTCCCTCTGTGTCAGCTACACGTACACGGACAAGAACCGAGGCAGCTTGGCAGGGCACGACATGAGCTTGACGCTGAAAGTCAGGGAAGCCGCTGGAAACATTGCGGAATTGACCCTGGGTTCGCTCATCTTCGTTCCGCAAAGCGGAAAGTACATCGTGGAGCGCGACTTCACCAGCAGCACCCAAGGTGACGAGGGCCAAGAACAGCGCGACTGGTGGACAAGGTTTGTACATATTGACGCGTGTATGTGCCAGTGGCGGCCACAAGGAAGCAGCGCGAGTGTCCTTGGTGGAGGGTGGAGACGAAAAAGACGTTGCAGTCTTTGTCCTGTGATCGATAGGTGCTTTGTGTGCTCGTCGATCCCGCGTCGTCACAGTATATACAAAAAGCGCTACGCCTGTGCGGAACACGCAGAACACTGGTGTGGCCTTCATATATATCCCGAGGGCCCCTACCGCAAGTGCAAGCCGAAGTAAACCCACCGTGAAAGCAATCGTCACATTTGTCGCAGTATTCAAGCGGACACTATACGCGTGTCTAAGGCAATATTATCAGCTACGTCAGTGCACGCTTTTTCGACGGTTTTATAGATGATGATTAATATTATTAATTGATGAGCCGGCTACTAAATCACAATATACAGCAAGAAGTTTCCTTAATGTTGTCAAGCCAATTCTTACAATGAACGGAGGAACATAAGTACAGACAGCTTTTGCTTCGTCATATGGGGCTTCCAGTTGTGCATCTTACGTCCACTGTCAAGAGCGCTGCCCACTCGCGTCTGTTTTAGAGCTCTGTCCTCTTGTGCCCTCGTGTCTCACGCGTGGGTCTGCTCAGCCGTTTCTTCTTTTACCGTAAGACGCTGTACCAGTTCAAGTATACGACGAGCCAACTCGCCCACTCTTCAACACTTGAGTACTGGAAAGAGCGCCGCTTGCCGACGCTTGGTTACATAATAGATCCTACGAACTCTGAACGATCTCTTCATTTTCGTTAATTCGGCAATTAGCAAAGATTGAGCCCTCAACAGCGTGTTTTCACCACTAGATTTTCATTCAGCTCGCTTACAAGTTATCGTAATTTTGGAGCACCCTCTATAGCACAAGCGTTGCCGCAAATTGATTCCTGGCATTTATACCGCTACCTTTGGTAATCCTAATCATATATCGTGAGGAATCTGTAGAAGCTGATCTAATGTGAAAATTTGTACTTTTTTCTGGTTGACAATACATTCACATGAAATGAAAGCAAGATATAATGGAGGATTTCATAGTTCCACGTAGCGCCATAGCATTAAGTTGTTGCGATGGCTTTGACCGAGCTCACTGGAAGCTAGGTATACTTCCAGAGGACCGCAAAACCGCAAAATTATTTTTTTTGCCCTGAAGACGACCAGGCCTTTGATGAACTGACTGCCATTGGTATAGTTGTTATCAATTTGAGAATTCAGTCCTATTTTCTGGTGTTCATCTGCATCTGCAAATGTTGTAGAGTTCACACGCTCTCTCTACTAGTAAACAGTCTAACAGCTGGTGCGGACAGTCCGCTTTTGTCAAATTGGATTATCCCTAGACTATAACAATGGCTGTATTTTTCCTGTTGTCATTTCTTCGACTCTTTGTTCAACTTGCATCTACACCGACTGCCGGTTTTGTCTGGAATGGCCGGCTTTTAGAAGAAACTTTATTTTAACAAAAACGTATGTAAGCTTTAATTCATACAAGACATCATATCCAACTGTATTTCATACAAAAAAGCATTTCATGCCTGGTCGCCGCAACCAAAGCAGCTCCATCGTCCAATTTTCATGTTCTAGAGCTTAAACTCTGTCATGTTCATTGCTATATCCGGCAGGTGTGCTTCGACACCTTTCAAGTAAACGCTCTCTGCCTAGGCAAGCCAGTAGGCTTTCACATGCCCGAAACTTTTGCATCGGTCCTCACACAGCCGCACATGGCAAGCTCAACAAATAAATAAATAAATAAATAAATAAATAAATAAATAAATCAATCAATCAATCAATCCAAATTTTGTTTTTGCGTTACAATACAGTGCATTCTAAGTGCGAAAATATGGGATCAGAAACAGAAGCTGTGCCAGCGCGGTCACCACACACCTCATTTATGGCACCTCGAACGTGGCAAGCTCAATGGCCCCTCATGCCTCATTTTCAGGAAATACCTCGTCAAGGACGTCACGGGTTCTGCCAACCTGGAGGAAATCGGAGTCTCTTTCGGTGCCAACGAGAGCCTGGCTTTTTTCATCGGTGAGCTCGTCGTGGAGCGCGCAGAGGTCGGCAGCATGGCTTCGAGAGACTCGCCGAGCAACAAAGATGGCGCGGACAGACCGGAGACGGAAGCCGGGCTTCGGGAATGGCTGGCCAAAAAAGACGAGACTGGACAAGACGACCCCACGCAAGAAGCCCCAATCGCTTTCGACGTCTCCATGTCCAGTGACGAAGGCGATTAGCGAAAATCAATAAGCAGGAGTAGAGCCGAGCGAATAGCATCCTAATTCAATGGATGGCAGCATTGGTCGCGTGCAGCGACAGTCACAATAAATTACCCTCAGTGTATCGCTTTCCTCGTAGTGGCGCACTTCGACAAAAGCGGCAAGAACAAAGCTCGATGGTACTATCGCCTATTGTTCTTGTTTTGCTTACAAGCTTATGGCACGTACGCACTCTGCAAGAATGCGCAGTTGAAAATTAAGAAGGTTATGTGAAGAGTGTTGGGACTCATTAAAAAAGTATAGTAATGAAATGGGAGTATTGCGTAATACATTAAATAAGATTACAAATATTCTATTATTTAACTCGTATTCCAGGTTGCCGTATAAACCAGATCGGAACAAGTTTGAACAGATTAGTTAGATTATGCCACAATTTATTTGAAGACAAGATTTTAGTATGCCACAAATTATTCAACACAAGATTTTAGTACTCACAATCAAATTACAAATGACATCAAAGGCATCCATGTGCCAGTATCCCAAACAGGAGGCACCGAAACATTATGCAGTTTCCACTATTAAGGTTAACCCTTTTAGGGGCGAAAAAGGGAAGTTTATTGTACACTTAACTTGTACGTTCACTAACGAAACATCGAAAACAAGTAAAGGAGAGTCTATACATCTTGCAAATGAGCACCAAAATTTAATTGATCACTGAGTATCCAAATGTTACAAGTGAAAAAAAATTAAAAGTTAATCACATTTAACAGGATAACACTTATACATGCGTACTAGAGTGGGCGTATGGCTAGTACGTGACAACTGGAAACCTCAGTTGTCCCTCTCTTACTTTGAAGAAATGTGTCTGCCATCGTCGAAGGAAGGCCTCTTCGCCGTGCGTTTCCAGCTGCTGATCTAGGTAATTCCACACAATGAGCCAAATTTTCTGTGGTGCGGGATAGGCGCCTCTATGCGGCTTGTGCCGTATTTCCGCTAAACAGCGTCGCCGCCACAGTACGTACAAGGTCACTGTGAAGACCAGTCTTGCAAAGAGCCTACGTTCTGTTCTCATGCGCGCCGTGCGAAAGCCGAAGAGGCGTTGTACCATGTGCCAGACGCCCCTCGCCCCCGAGCACTGAAACAGAGCATGTTGGGCCGTTTTTCTTTTGCCGCAGTTTGCAGCGGTCCTTTGCAACGACTCCCCAATGTGCTAACCGGTCACGCGTAGGCAATGCCCTCCATCTTCTCAACCAGTCGAATTCGCGCACCTGGTTAGGTACGTGATTGCAACGCCATCGTTTCCGTTTTTTTCGTGCAGGATGCTGTTTCTTCCTCTTTGCTCAGTGTGTTACTTGTCACCATTTCGCTTATTTCCTGCGACGAAATTTCTTCCAGACTGCACGAACCTATTGATTCCACTGTTCTTTTTAAGCCACTGGCAGCTCTGTAAAACTTGAGCGGAATTTCTGCTCGTGGTCCGATGTACGAATTGGCCGTGAAAGTACCTTTTAGTGTACCGCTCCTGTACATCATGAGCCTGTACCCGGGGTAGTTGCTGTCGTCGAACAGCTTCTGTGTTATTTTTGCAGCCAGCGCTCTCATGACCGTTGGTATATCTGGGAGACTCAAGCTTCCACGGTTTGTGGGAAGCTGTAAAAATTTCTTCCGTACCTTTGCTGGTTTTCCTCCCCAGAGGAAGGTCCCCGCCATAGCGGCAAAGCATCCTGCAACACGGCTAGGTAGCAGGGCAATGTATGCTACGTAAAACGGGAAAGCGCATGCTTGTGTCTTGATGACTGTTGCTTTTGCCGTTAGTGACAGATTAAAATGAGTGGCTGCTGCTATGACATCGGTAGATCTCCTTAGCACGTCATGCCAGGTCTTTTTTTGACACATCTCCTTCCTCAAAGTAAACGCCTAACACCTTAACAGCTTGAACGTATTCTAAGTCTCCTGGCAATAGTTCTCTGAAGACTCCAAAGCGCAATCAATGCCTTACAATTGGTGGTGTTTAAAAGAGCACCAGACAGATAGGAATACTCAGCAAAAATGTCAAGGAATGTACTATAGGTAGACAAGTTACGAAAAAATACCGAAATATCATCGGCGTATGCGTCAATTTTGAAGGTTTCCTTGCCTGGCACCGGGAAACCCACTATGCGCTCGCAGTTTGCAACCTTTCTAATCAAAGGCTCTAGAGACAAAATGAATAATACCGGAGACAACGGACAGCCTTGCCTCACCTTTTTTTTCAATTGCAAAGCTTCTGGTCACTTCATTGTTGAAATAAAGACAGCTTGAGAGGTCCTGATAAAGTATTTCTACCAGTCGCACATACCGCTCTGGGAGGCCAAATATGCGCAAAATAGCGAAAAGATACCCATGTTCAACTCTATCAAATGCTTTGGCCTGATCAAGAGAAATATATACTCCTGAGATTTGTTTTTCTTTGGCATATGCAAAGAGGTCTCTGATGATTGTAAGAGGTACGTAGACGGAACGTCTTGGTACTGCACATGACAGCAAGGGGGACACAATCTCTTCCAAGAAAGGCCGCAGACGCCGTGATAGCAGCGTGGCTACCAACTTATAGTCTGTGTTTAGAAGGGTAATGGGCCTCCACGATTTAGGATCTGACGGCTCCATACCCTTTTTCAGTAATAGAATCACCGTTTCTTCGCAGAAGGACTGCGGTTTATGGCCATCACGCAACAAAATATTCACGAGATTGGTGATCGCATCTCCCAAGATATCAAAGAAACGCAGATAAAATCCCGTGAGTATTCCGCCTGGGCCTGGTGACGTGGACATATTCATTGATTTTAGGGCGTACCATACTTCTTCTTTATCAGTTTCTGCATATAATACTAAACAGTCTTCCAAGCCTAGCGATGGCCAACCTTCGCAAAAGGCTGAGAGTTTAGCAATTTTGCAAAGTAGTCTCGGAAAACTTTTTGAACTTAGTCGGGGTCATTAACAATGGTACCATCCTCTTTCAGTGCCTCATCGATGCAGCGGGGCTGGCATCGACGATCTCGGTTTCTTTGCGCATATGTCAAGTTTTCAATTTCATCTGTCGATAAGTGCATTTCTCTTGCGAGCCTTGTAGCCTGGGACCTCTGCTTTCAAAGATTTTAATACTTAATTTTTTGTGCTTCAAGGTATTCGAGCATAGCGAACATAGTTGACCCACCCCTTTCAATAATTTGAATGCGTTGGAGAATCTCATACATCTTGGCCGTGAGGCAAGCATGGCGCGCTTTTCCTGCCTGTTGAGCTATTAGGCGCCAACGAGATTTTAAGTGGTCCCATGTAGTCGGAGTTATGCAAGCCACTTCTGCCAGTGAGGCCGCCAGCTCAGTTTGAAGTAGGGAAATGCTTTCGTCATCATGAAGAATAGTTGGGTCCATCCTCCATGGTTTGTGGATTCTCGTTGTTGTGCTCACTTTAAACTTGAAGTGTAACGGAGCATGAACGCTGAGTTTCTGTTGGCTTGGCGCAAGCTGAACCACCTCACATGCTTGTAGGTTCGCTAAAAAGTCTTCGGGCACACAAACTCTATCAATTCGGCTTTGTTGAATGCCACAAGCGCGGGTTGCAGCAAACCCGACCCCATGTAGAGTTAACCACACATCTGACAGCTTGAGATCTTGAACTAATTGCTGTAGTTCTCTGGCGTAATAATTGTTGGCGCCTTGGCCGGGACCCCTGACGTCTCGTGTAGTATCGAGCACGCAGTTGAAATCTCCGACAAGCACATATGATATCGGCTCGATCAAAAAATTTCTGACACCTTTATAAAACCCGTTCGTTTCTGACCTCGTTACGGGCGCATATACGTTGACAAATCTGACTCGTTTGCAGTTAAGTACCACATCTACTGTTATTATGCGGCCTACGGTGTCAGCGAGACAGTGAGCACCCCTCCTGAGCGTTGCGTTCATGAAAAGAACTCCTGTGCCACGTGCACGCGCATCTGTGAGTGAAAAGAAGGCCTCTATATGAAACCTTTCCTGAAACTCTGCGACGTCAAGCTTAGTACGAAAGTTAGTCTCCTGCAAAAAGAGCATGTTTACGTGATGTGCCCGCGCGAGGTCAAGTACTGCCTGCTGCTTCACCGGATTTCGGAAACCGCGAACATTAACCACATAAAAGAAACTGATGCCATTGTTGAAAGAAAGGTGGGGAAGTTGCTTAAAGGAAAGAAAGGGTAAGAGAGAGGAGAGCCAGATGCTAAAAGTACATATCGTCGTCGCTCACAGTTTGTGACGTTTGCCGTGGTGGTGATCCCACGCGGGGTTTCTTAATTGTTCCCTGTTTAGCGGAGTCACTGCCGCTGCTCCCACTGCCTGGCTTGGATCGGCGTTGTGAACTCAAAGGACTCGATGCGTCTGCAGATCGTGCGGGTTTGGTAGAAACCTCGATGTCCGCCGGTGTGCTCCGCGTTGGTGGTCGGCTTCTCAGCTGCTTCATCGATGTCGAAGGCATAGCGTTCATGTTCTTCGAGGTTGTCGACATTCCAAGGTTAGTGTTCGGTGTGCTGTCACTGGCGTCTGTCGCTGTCGTGGCAGAGGGAATCAAAGCAGTGCTTTCTGCGACGCCTCTTGTAATGGGTACCTGGTCGTCCGGCGTTTGGCACTTCTCGGACGCCATTGATGCGCTGCCGTTATGTCGAGTTTTGATGCTGCCTACTAGTGAAGAAAAATCACTGGGCGTTTCCGTGGAACTCCCATTTGGGTGTTCATGTTGCGTCTGAGCGGGCTGTTCATCTGAAGTTGCACCGCCTGGCGTACTGGCCGGCTTGAAGTGAGTAGCGTCTTCCGACTGCGCGTCTACGAAATCATCGGACAGGCTCTCTTCTTCCCAGTGGTCTGGTGTCTTGACCCGTGTCGTTTTCTTTTGAGGACGCAGTACTTCATAGTTTCTAGATTGCATGGCCACACTTGAGGAGCTTGAAGAGAATTCTTCAATTGTCTGGAAGTCTCGGACACTCGGTGACGGCATCTTCTGAGCTGCGTCTGCGTATTATCTGCGCTTGAAACATTCTTTGATCGGGTGATCACCTCCACACCTTCTGCAGGCTTCACTGCACTCTTCCACAGCGTGTCCGTACGTGCTGCACCTATGACAAAAAGGTG